ATGTGACCCCAAACAACACATCCTTCCTTGGGTTCTGGGGAACCTTGGAAGGTTGTGTGTGTGTATGTGGCTGGAAGGTGGTTTCTTTTGGGGGAAGAGTTGCTTCTTGTGTGCCACTTTGCTTTTGACGTAGTTCATAATCAGTGCCTTGATGAGCTGCCTCCTCCCTGAATTAAACAGCAAGCACTGCTGATGATAATCAGGGCCTTGGGATGAGCTGTGAGCACAAACAGGCTCCTCTTCAGCCCCTTCCCCTCTTCCTGCTGTCCTCTGCTTCCATCGCAGGAGCACCACTATGACAGCGTTTCCAGGGGCGTCTGCTCAGTCTCTGTGGAGCCCCAGGTGGATTCTTTCTCCATTTGGGATGGGACTTTTCCCCAGTTTCCCTGACAGGGAACCCCTGGCTGCCCAGCTGGGGGGCTGTTGGAGGACAGGAGCACAGCCTTCAGTAGGGATGTGCCTCTCAGAGCCTCAGGAGGGCTGATGCAGTGGATCCCAGACCCCTGGGGCACACACAGCACACACTCATTGCTGGCAGAAGCTGAAGTGTTTGGTGTGCAAGTCCAAGGGTGACTGGAGGTCTCTTATCCTAAAGCTTCGCCTGCTGGGAGCTGAGTGGGCAGGGATGGAAGCCTCGTGCTGCCCCGTGGGCACCCTCACTGCTCTGCAGGACGGGTTTCATGGGGACCCATTTGTGCTCTCCCAGCAATCCCAGCTGCGGTGCAAGGCTGGCTCTGGTCAGAGGCAGCTTCTGGAGTGCAGATTGGGAACAGCTGGTCTCTGTGTTCTGGTCTTGGTTTTCTGGGGCAGAGAGGAAAGCTTGTTCATAAGGGCCTGGACTGACGCATTGTGCAGCAGGGAATGAGCAGCTTTATACCATTCTGTCACTGCTGTGGGTCTGCAGCACCCTGGGGTGTGAGTAGCTTTACTGGGAAAGGTCCATCCTCCCATCTTCCAGCTCCATCACACACATCTGAACTCAGGTTGTTCTTGAGCAGAGTCCATCACAAAGCTGCCTGTGAGCAACCTGCCACCAGCAGCACCCCTTCCTGTGCTTCCTGCATCGTTACTGCTGGGAAGTTGTGGCACCTTTGAAGCATTCAAAGGAACGAGCAAGCAAGTCCATAGGACCAGCTGTGCCCTCAGCTGTGTTTGCTGGGCCCTTAGAATCATGGAATGGTGTAGGTTGGACAAGACCTGTAGGGTCATCAGGTCCAGCCATCAACCCAGCCATGCTGAGCCCACCCCAACCACATCCACACATTGGGATGGGACTCAACTGCCTCCTGGGCAGCTTCCTCCAGTGCTGATGTTATCTTGAACATCCCTTGGCACAACTTGGGGCCATTTCTTCTCATCCCATCGCCTTGGAGAAGAAAGAAGAGCCCAACTCCACCGCACTGCATCCTCTCTGAGGTCACTGCAGTGCAAACACGCGGCCTCCTGACCTCCCAGGCATCCTCCTGGGGCTCTGCTGCTGCCCCACGTCCCCCGGAGCTGTGCAGCATCTCCTCCTCCTCCCAGAGGACGTGACTCACATCCGGGCTGTGGGTGTTGGCCCGTGGGCTCTGGGCTGTCCCTGGGAGCGGTGCAGATGTGTGCAGTCCCGGAGCCAGCGGTGCCGTTCACCTGACAAAATGTGGGCTGTCGTTTCAGCGTGGGGTGAATCAGCCCCATTGACTTCACCCAGCAGCTCCATTGAGTCTGAAAGCAGCCCGGCACCTAGAGGTGCTGCTTTCTGCAGCCCACGTCCGACTGCGTGCTCCCACCCTGCGGTGCAGGGAGAGGAAGGAGGCTTCAATCGGGACTTGGCTGCATTTCTGCTCATTCCTCTCCTGTCCGCCCGCTGTGGCGCTGCTGCTCAGAGCCCAGGGGCTGCCTGTGCCTTCTGCTGGCCGTCCTGCCAGCCCTTCTCCATCCCTGCTCTCCCCACACTCTGCCTTTCTCCTCCCCAATTTTTCAGACCATTTCTCCAGCACCAAACGAGCCCAAATGCGCTCTTGCAACAGGTGGATGTGGTTACTGGGCATGGTGGGGATGGCTTGGGCTTGGATTTGGGACCCGAGAGGTCTTTTCCACCTGGATGTTTCTGTGATTCTCTGACTGCATTGAGCCTGCCCCAGGACAGACCCTCTTTAATCCCACTCTACGCATCCACCTGACAGTGAGAAATGTGCCAGGGCAGCTCTTCGCTCACCCCGCAGCCTTTGTGCTCCCCTTGCTTTTTGTGAGCATGTCCTGTGAGAGAGTTCAGAAAGCTGAGCTGATGTCAGGGTCTGCATCACACAGCTGCCTTCCTGTGTTCAGGAGACCCGTTGTGTTCCAGCAGCAATCAGGTCTGTTCAGCACAATTAGCTCTCAAAAATCGTAGAACCGTAGAATGGCCTGGGTTGGAATGGATCACAATGCTCATCTGCTTCCAACCCCCTGCTGTGTGCAGGGTCACCAAGAGACACACAGGGACACATAGATCCCCATAGAGACCCCTTTACAGACCCTTCCAACCCAACCATTCTGTGGTTCTGTCATCTTTAAGGACCCTTCCAACCCAACCATTCTGTGGTTCTGTCACCTTTAAGGACTCTTCCAACCCAACTGTTCTGTGATTCTGTCATCTTTAAGGACCCTTCCAACCCAACCATTCTGTGGTTCTGTCATCTTTGGGGACCCTTCCAACTCAACTGTTCTATGGTTCTGCAACGTTTAAGGACCCTTCCAACCCTAAGACATCCTGTCATTCTATGGGCTGTAAGGATCTATCAAACCCATCCCATGTTGTGTTTTTATGATTCTATGGCTCACAGCTCAGGATGTGAGACTTCTGGCTGCCATTACGAGCCACATGCTGCTGCTGTGGCCTCTCCTGGGAGCAGCTGTTAGCAATCCATTCCCAGTGGGATGTCCACAGCTCAGAAGAAGTCTTGCTGGGATTCATCCACACCTGGAGCATTGTTGCATGAGTTGTGTGACCAGTTTTCTAGATAGCTTTTTTTTTTTTTTTTTTTTTAATGCAGAATGCCTAAAATGTCCAGAATTATTGTGCGGAGTGAAATATCAGAGAAGTGCAAGGAGTCCTGCATTCATTTTAGTGGCAGCACTGTCCTGAGTCCTCAAGGCACCCCACACCTGCCTGCATTGTCTGCTGCGGTCACCTCCCCGTGGTCTGAGAGCAGCCCTGCACAGAAGGGCCTGGGGGTCCTGGGGGATGAAAAACTGACCATGAGCCAGCAGGGTGTGATTACAGCTCGGCAAGCAAGTGGGATCCTGGGCTCCATCAGCAGAGGGGTAGCAGCAGGGACTGGGAGGTGATTGTCCCTCTCTGCTCTGCTCTTGTGAGGCCCCGTCTGCAGCACTGCATCCAGGTCTGGGGGTCCCAATACAAGAAGAAAGTGCTGTTGGAGAGGGTCCAGAGGAGCCACAGAGATGATCAGGGGCTGCAGCACCTCCCCTATGAGGACAGGCTG